CTCTCTACTATGTCCTCCACCGCCACCGCCCACTAACTCACTCACTGCCCAGGACATTGCCATTCATTTAAAAAACAAATTAGATACAATTCGGGATCAGATCGCCACTGTCCAATCAACTTCCCCTATTAATGTACCAGACCCACCTTCACACCTGTTACTTTCCTCTTTTGACCCTGTCACCACAGAGGAGGTTACAAAGCCACCTCACCACTTGTCCCCTGGACCCAGTTCCCTCACCACTACTTCGGTCACCCTCTTGCTCTATCCTACACTCTCTTACTCACATTTTGAATCTTTCACTCTCTACTGGCATCTTTTCCTTTCTAAAAAATGTGCCAGTCACCCCAATACCCAAAAAACCCTCACTGGACCCTACCAACCTCAACAATCTCAAACCAATCTCCTTACTCCCATTCATCTCCAAACTCCTAGAACGCCTTATCTACAGCTGCCTGAGCTGGCACCTCGCTGATAACAACCTTCTCGACCCCCTACAATCCGACTTTCGCCCTCTACACTCCACTGAAACCGCCCTTCTCAAACTCACTAATCACTTACTAACAGCTAAAAACAATGGTCACTACTCCTTACTCTTGCTATTAGATCTTTCCTCGCTCCTCCTACCTCTCTGAGCCCTCCTTTAGTGTCATCTACAAATCTAACTCCTCCCCTCCTCTTCCTGTAGGGGTCCCCCAAGGCTCTGTCCTTGGACCCCTCCTCTTCTCCATCTACACTTCCTTCCTTTGTCAGTTAATAACCTCACAGGGCTTCCAATACCATCTCTATGCCGATGACACTCAAATCTATCTTTCTACTCCACAACTCACCCCCTCAGTGTCCTTGCGCAGGGCCGGCCTTAGGCCTTTAGGCGCCCTGTGCGAGAAAACTTTACAGCGCCCCTCAGTGACCACACCCCTTAGTGGCAACACCCTTTAGTGACCACACCCCCAGTAACCACACCCATTTCCCCCAATATCCGCACCATTTAAAGACTCTTATTTTGTTAAGCTGCAAAGAAACATATTAAAAAGTATGATAAAAATAAAACTTTTATTCAAAGGTATTAAACTTGTAGGCACAATAGAAGTATTCTTATCAAATAAAACAACAGAAGGTAAACAATAAATGTCAAACTAAAATAGAGTCTATAAAAATAAAGTGTCAGGATGTCATGCCGATCCCTTTCTTCAAGTAGGTGCATCTAGAAAATTTAAAATAGAAAACAGAACACAAAACCCAGACTACATGTAAAATTAATGAATTACTATGTCCGAATATACGTAACATGTATTCAGGCATATAATAATTTGTTTGAGAATGTGTGGCGGCCATGTTGGCCAGCGGCGTGTTCTGTGAATGCTTGCCACCATCTTCGAGGCAGGGAGCATGACATTGCATGGCGTCAGGTGACGTCACACGCCGATATAGGCGCCGCCATCTTGGTGTATACCTAGATATACACCAAGATGGCGGCGCCCAACACGTGCGGTGTTATAAGATGTTATGAGCACTGCCTCCAGAACACGCCAATGGCTGAATCCAAAATAGCATAAAAATGTGTTTTGTTTGATGAAACGAATGAAAACGTTTTCCCTCTGAAGTGGGGGGGTTGACGAGGGAGCCCTGTCATGTCGGATGGCCAGCGGTGAGGAGGGAAGCTGCCCCCAGGACGAGCTGTGTCGGCTGCCTGGCGCCTTTGTTGCCGCACAGCTCACACACCCCTAAGGCCGGCCCCGTCCTTGCGTGTCACTAATCTACTAACTGACATATCAGTCTGGATGTCGCAACACTTCTTAAAACTCAACCTTTCAAAAACTGAGCTCATGATATTTCCTCCCGCCCATGCACCTTCCCCCAACTTTTCCCTTGAAATTGATAACACGACTATCCAACCCTCCCCCATGCCAAGGTGCTAGGTGTCATCCTTGACTCGGACCTCACCTTTCTTTCCCACATCCAAATCCTGCTGCCTTCACCTTCGCAACATCTTCAAAATACGCTCCTTCCTCACCAATTAAACCACTAAATTACTCATCCACTCCCTTGTTATCTCTCGTCTTGACTATTGCAACTCCCTCCTCATTGACTTACCTCTACACAGGCTATCCCCCCTTCAGTCTATCACGAATGCAGCTGCTAGACTCATTCACCTAACCAACCGCTCAGTGTCTGCAACCACCCTCTGCCGATCCCTGCACTGGCTTCCAATAGCCCAACGGATAAAATTCTATGCAACTCCCTCCTCATTGACTTACCTCTACACAGGCTATCCCCCCTTCAGTCTATCACGAATGCAGCTGCTAGACTCATTCACCTAACCAACCGCTCAGTGTCTGCAACCCCCCTCTGCCGATCCCTGCACTGGCTTCCAATAGCCCAAAGGATAAAATTCTAAATATTAACAATGACTTACAAAGCCATCCACAACTCTGCCCCCGGTTATATCTCAAACCTTGTCTCAAAGTATCACCCTAAACGTCCCCTCTGCTCTTCAAAAGACCTTGTTTTCCAGCTCCCTTGTCAACTCCTCCCATGCTCGCCTCCAGGACTTCACTAGAGTCTCTCCCATCCTCTGGAACTCTTTACTCCAAACTGTCCATCTGTCTCCCACTCTGACTGCGATCCCTTAAGACTCATCTCTTCAGGGAAGCCTATCCCGCCTCGACCTAACTGTTCAACCATCACATTCTCAGACAATTCATCCCCACACAGCTACCTCCTCATGTATCACTTCCCCCTCCCTTTTAGTTTGTAAGCCCTCAGGGGCAGGGCCCTCTTTACTATCTTGTCTTGAATTGTATTGTGATTGTAATGTCTTCCTTATATTGTAAAGTGCTGCGCAAACTGTTGACGCTATATAAATCCTGTATTATAATAATAATAAGTCCCCTTGAGGTGAACAGCCAACAAGGAGGCCAGGTTTACTTCTGCCCAAGAGAAAATGTATTTGGCTAACAACTGACTAAAGAGGAGGACTACTGGTAACCCCCTGCTTGTTGAGGTAGGTCACTGTTGTCACATTGTCTGAAAACACTAGGAGATGGTGTTCTTCGAATCCTTCTTGGAACGCCTTGAGCTCCCTCCAGTTTGATGATGCTCTCGACTCTTTTCAGGACAACTGACCCTGGGCTACCGAGCCTTCCATATGCACCCCCCAGCCCCATGAGCTGGAATCTGTTTTTAACTTCATGAAAGACTGGAACACCCACATTGAACCTTCCGGACAAAAGACTGTCATCTCTCCACCACCAGCGGCTTCTTTTTACTGAGGAAGGAAGTAGGACCACTGAGTCCAGGCTCTCCTGTGAACAATGCCACTTACTTAAAAGAAAATGAAGAGGTCTTTGGTGGAAGCGGGCCTACTTGACGGCTTTTTAACAGGAACTCATGAGTCCTAGAACTGACATCAGAAACCTCAGGGAAACTGGAAAATTCCTTTGTAGCTGACTGACTCCTACACAAACCTTTTGAATTTTTTCCTCTGGGAAAAAAAACTTTCTCCACCATATTCAGGACATACCTCAAGAAAGTCACTACCTGTGAGGGCCTCCGATTGGACTTCTGGAAGCTTATGATTCAGTCGAGATCCTGTAAAAACTTCTGAGTGAATGCTAGATCCTCTTCCAAGCGATGTCTTGCAATAAGAGCAAAATTTTGTAGAAAAGCGCCACCCGAATAAGGCTGTAGCAGTGCGAGCGATGAGTCTGTTTAACGACAATGCAATGTCACATTGGATAGATTCCTTGTTAAGGTTTCACGAAATGAAAGATTCCATTGAGCCAAGAGATAGCCGTGATTCTGTTAGTGATAGTGAAAGTTGTCCTACACAATAATCCTCCTCTCTCTTGTCCCCCTCACACCAGCCACGAAGGTACCGGTAATTGGTTTATTTTTCTTTATATTTTGTACAGTATTATATTACAGTACAGTATTGTAATCATTTTATATGAATATTTTTGGGTTGTGGAACATCATCTGAATTTCCATTATTTCCTATGGGGAAATTCGCTTTGATATACAAGCGCTTTGCACAAGCATGCTGCCGGAACGAATTATGCTCGTAAACCAAGGTATTACTGTACTGCCATGCAAAGGTCGGGAAAAATACTTCTGGTAATCAAACATCACAACTATAAAAGGTCTTTACATGAGATGTAAAACAGGGACTACAGAGAGAATATGAGGGCAAACTCAGAGCTATGGCAAAACGAGGCATTCCACAACAGTCCAAATGCATAACAAGGTAATTTGCTTTGTCAAAGATGGGCTTGGTTTACAGCACCGTGTTCCGATGGTGTGCGCGTAAAAGAAGTACGACATGCAGTTATTTTTTAAAGCGCGCCAGTGACACGTGGTACAACCACAATGCACGGCAGTAAGCCATACAACTGAATGAAATGTCACCTGTGACATATCAATAAAGTTCTAACAACAAAAAAAAATCAGCGCAATGAGGCTCGATTGAGCGCGGTTAAGCGCTGCTGTTGGTGGAATTGTACCCTAAAACACAGAACATGATCTGGGAAACATAAAGTTTGTTCATACCTGGCACATGCGTTAAAACAGCCTAAAGCAGTAGTGCTGAAGTTAATCATCCATTTTGTTGTAGGAAGTCACTCTTTCCTGAGCTGTGATTTCCTACAACACCCCAGTGAACTTTGGACAAAATGACGCACCATTACATTACCCAACCGAAAAATATCCGCACCACAAAAAGCACAACTTCCCTGCACTGACGTCACCCAGGCACACTACCCAAGGCTTTTCCGGCTCTGTGGCTGACCTTAGCCGCAGACTCACAAGCCGGGCGGTGGGAGCGCCCAGAAATCTCGCGAGTCTTTCAGGCCGGTGCTGGGTGCCGATAGGCGCGCCTCCTAGCAGGCTGCCTGGAGACAAGCATGGCTCGTACAACTTCACCACTAAGTTCTCGCGCGCTCCGAGTTCTCCCCGCCCATCTTCTACGTCACCAGCTTGCGCGCTTGCGTCACCACTACGCCGTCGGTATATAAGAGAACGGCCCGGCTCGCCCGGGCGTTCAGTTGGGAGCAGTCTCTCTTACTGTTCGCTTCGCAAGATTTCGTAATTTGGCATAAAATAGCTTAAATTAAGAGTCTTATAGAGTTATTAACATTTTTTTTTGTTAGACGTAAGCAATACCACGTGTGACAAATTCAGAGACCGCAGTAATCACTTTCGTCTCCACACCGAATAACACCGACGATTTTCCTGCTCGAGGGACCCCGGCCTTCTTATCGTTTAGTTATGAGTCATGTGGCCGTCGAAAATGTTCACGGTCTAGACCAGCAGGTGAGTGTTTTGGAGGGGGGAAGGAGAGTGGGGAGAGAGTCGTCTGGTGGCCCGGCAGACAATAGCGGCCTAGTCCAGTGACGGAGCGCCTGTGTGCGCAGTTACATAATTCGCCTTATGCTTGTGACTATGGAGAATTGGGGCTGAGGTAAAGTTGCGCTATCCCCTCGGTCGTACTCGGGGCTCGTCTTCTGCTATTTCGTCTTTGTCCCGGGTAGAGCCGGTGCGTCATCGGTGCCCGGGGGTGGTGAGTCATTAGGCAGGGACCCGATGACGCCGCTTTTGTGTCCTTCCTCGTGGTCTCGGGGTTTAAATAGTCTAATCGGTGGGGGGCCCTGATGCGCCGATGGTGAAGAGTGGTCGCGGTGTGGATAGTAGGCCTCGCTAGCGTAGCTTCACAATGGCGGCCTTTGTGAGAGGAAAGGGGAGGGGGAAGACACGCAGCCGGCTTATTCACACTCTAGCAGCCACATCTCTTCTCTCTGAGAACAATGGCCACCATTTCCAGCCCGATCCTTCTCAGCTCTGAAAATCAGTTTCCACGGGATCTCTCCTGGACATCGGGAGAATGAAAACATCGGCCTGTTTCAGAGGTGGCGGCATGGGAATGGGATGACGCGTTTTCACAGGCCTTGACCTCAGTCGATTGCTGGGCCCATATTCTTTAGTTTCGATACTGACTGAGGTCCCTATACAGTTCCTATGTCTTGTACCTAAGCAAAATCTGGGGTGTCTGCACATTTTATGTAATGAGTGGTCCTTGGCGTGTCTGTCCCCATCTGCTTCACTGGCCTAAAGTCCTTGAATTGTCTACTACTATACAGTGTATAGTATGCCAGGGGACATTCCATTGCTGCCGAGGAGACGGGTATCACGGACCGCTGTCGGCCTGTTCAGGGGGGCAGACGAGTGTAACATGATTTTCACCTCGACCAAAATGAGCAGTTAACCCTTGCAGTCCCACTACAAGGATTGATATAAATGAGTATCTGGAGTTCGGGCAGCTTATGTTGCATTCCCTACCCCTGATTACTTACTGAAAGCAGTTTCCCAAAAAAGGAACCAAATGCAAATGCTTGCTTTGAAAGAAGTGATGTCATTGGCCCTTCTTGCGGGCTCCCAGAAAAGTGGTACATCTCACATTCCAGAAGGATGTTTGTGCACTCTGTTGGCAAGTTTTGAGGTGTGGGGTCCTGAGATTTCCTGGGACATTGCTGTTTGTCCACTTCTAGTTCTAATGCTGTGTCTAAGGCCTCTTCCAATGTCTTTCTTTTTTATGTGACGGTTGGGGTTTCACTACAAAATGGGTGGACAAAACATTTTAATGCAAAGTCTGTTTTTTTTTAAAATTGCTTTGAGGTCGTGCTCAGGGAGAAGTGTGTAAGTCTTTATTACTGTATTTGTTCTAACAAGATAGTCACACTAGTCATCCTGTTGACAGTTGTCCCAAACAGGGTTGGGGTTCCAAAGTTTTAGTGGTCACCAGAAAAAGTTTCAGGTAAATCTTGCTGTTCTAGTGATCACCATCTAAGGGAAACTTACCTCACTTTGTACAGATGTCCTTTCACTTCCTGTTGTGTCCCTGGGACAGATAAATAAGAGGCAATCGCCTCAACACACAGATGGCGGCAGAAAGCTGGCCTTTCCCTACTTCAAAACAAAAAGGCAGAAGACTTGTGTTGATAAGAGGGCAGCAGTGTGTTTCCTTAGCGCAATTCTCTTTAATTTTAATGAGATCAGGAACTGTTTGAAATGTATATCTGAAACATGATTGTGCTGCAAAGTAGAAAGTTTCTGCATAAAATTCAAAATTTTCTTTAATATGTTGGTTCTTAATGCAGATTATTAAAACATAGCCTACTGACCCTTTCCCCTAAGTTCTGCTTTGTCTCTCTCGCTATTTTCTTGCCTTTAAATGATCTTTCTGTGTGCAGTTCTTGTCTGAATAAAACATGTGGCAAGTGTATTTTTGTGCAGAGTTATTTGGAATTTGTTTTCAATGGAAGAACATTGTGGACTGTGCTAATTGAATTCATGTCTTATGATCACCTCAAGTGTGTAATCTGCAGCCATTGGCTGATTTTCATAACTTTTTACTTTTATTGTTGGGTGTTGCACAGTTAAGGTTTTATTTTCTGCGTAGGCCACACCTGTTTCACTGGTTATAAAGTTCCTTAAAGAGGAACTTTATAGTGTTGAAGAATTGTGGT